TGTTCTTAGTTGGTTCGTACTCTAACTATATGTATACAGGGTGTTTCAAAACAAATGCGAAAAACTTCAGAGGGTGATTCCTTGTTCAAAATAAAGGGTAGTTTGCTTTATAAACGTTGGGTCAAAAGTCAACCATTAGGAAGATATCGCGGTACAAAGATGGCGGAAAAATAATGTTTTTATTTCTTATCTTGAAAACGAAAAGAGATAGACTAATGAAATTTTATGGAAGCATTACTGTTATGAAAACACACTTTCTGGTAATTTTTTCACTTTTTTAAAATGAGTAGAAGGGGTTGAAATAAACTACCCCTATAATTCTTGTTAACAAAATTTAAAGAAAAATCTTATCAAACAAATGCAGAAAAATTAATTTGGATAGCTCAGTTTGTTTAGAAACTTTTTTATCTCTTGTATTTTTTTGATAAAACTCACCGATTTGAAATTAAAAACTAAAATGTAAAGCATTACATGTCAGGACAAAAAACATTTTTAGATTAAGAATCTAGTGATAATAACGATAATAATAATCATCTAGATAATAACGTATTGCAGTAGAGTAATATCAAATAAAATAATATTAGGAACATCCTAAAAAGTAACAGCGGCCGACTAGATTTTTTCCTAAAAAAATTACAGCAGCCCACTAGATTCTTTATCAGAAAATGTTTTTTGTCCTGACATGTAATGCTTTACATTTTATTTTTTAATTTCAAATCGGTGAGTTTTGTGAAAAAAATACAAGAGTTAAAAAAGTTTCTAAACAAACAAAACTATCCAAATTAATTCTTTTGCATGTGTTTGATAAGATTTTTCTTTAAATTTCGTTAACAAGCATGATAGGGGTAGTTTATTTCAACCCCTTCCACTCATTTTAAAAAAGTAAAAAAATTACCAGAAAGTGTGTTTTCATAACAGTAATGCTTCCATAAAATTTCCATCAAATCTCTTTTCGTTTTCAAGATAAAAAATAAAAACATTATTTTTCCGCCATCTGTACCATTGTACCGCCATTTGTACCGCGATATCTCCCTAATGGTTGACTTTTGACCCAACGTTTATGAAGCAAACTACCCTTTATTTTAAACAAGGAATCACCCCAAGAAGTTTTTCGCATTTGTTTTGAAACACCCTGTATATAGTAGATAGCTCATTAGATTGGAACACTCTCAGAAGGAAAAGTCCACTCTTCCAACTCCCAGTAGATGGCATACCAAGAATGTACAACGTGAAGAAACACAACGTGGCAGATTTGCGTGCTTATGTTACAGATGAAATGGCGCTTGCAGGTTTAGGACCATGAATTAAACAACATTTTTTTTAAATTGCCTACGTTTCGACGTGTTATTTCGTCTTTATTAAGGCTATGTTCAGCTAAAAACTTCTAACAAAGAAACTTTTTAGCTGAAAATAGCCTTGATAAAGACGAGAATACACGTCGAAACGTCGGCAATTTAAAAAAAAATGTTTTTTAGTCGTGGTCCTAGACCTGCAAACGCCATTTCATTTGAGAAATACATCACTGTAGTGTTGAGCAATAAAAAGAATTGAAAGAGAGAAACGTTTGTTCACAGCAGGTAAAATACCATACGATAACGTGGTATACTAATGCTTCCATAACAAAAGCAGGAACAGGGATAGGAGTATTTGGGCCGAAAACTAAATACTCCATACCAATAGGCACCCACAAGAGCATCCTTCAGGCAAAAATCTACGCTATCGAAAGATTCGTACAAATTAAAAAACAAAAGATAAAAATTTGGCAGACACAGACATAATTGGCGAAACAATCTTCAGTCTTGAAGATAACTCTACAGATGTATTAATTTATCTCTGGCTGTAAATGGCTTTTCCCATCTCAAAAATGTGTTTTAACAGGACCCTATCTCCTCAATGAACACCTCAGTAGACTGAAGCTTAAGAAACAACGGCAAATGCAGATTCTGTGGAGAAACACCAAGAACTTCATCACTGAGTGCGCCGAGACGACAACCATTCATGCCATAAATTTTGGTACGGCTGATACCGGAGATGAAGAGCTAACCTCTGTAAAACCGTCTCAGATACTGGCCTTTATCAAAGCCCTTAGACTGTATAATGAGATATATCTCAAGAAAAGGAGGCACAATAGATCTGTAAGGTCGCGGTGAATAACTTTCTCCCTCCCATACATTCAACATACACTCTATGTTTACTTATTTCTCTGAAGCTGAGAGAAAACGCCGGACTGGAGAGGCAAGATGAAGAAGAGCGTGGCAGAGAGGGAATAAGGTGAAATTGATATACAGACTACGAACTAACAAGTGGAATCATATATGTGGAACGCCATGAATATAACATTAAAGAAACTGAAATTCGAGCTGATCGATTCGAGTATGTTTCAGATAAATTTCAAGAATTTATTCTCCGCGTCGCCAGTGTGTGTGTGTGTTCGTTTAAGTTTATTTTAAGATTTCATTTGCTAATAATTATTTAGTTACAAAAATCTAGCGGTTACGGAAGATAGTTTTGACGGGACGTTAAATATATTTTTGTAAAATTCCGTCACCGGAACAAGAGACACCGTCGTGATTTTACCCCGATTTGTTACGGTCCCGTCGCCGGACATTTATACACTCCCGCATTTAATTAATTTTAATGGGGGTCTTTTATTTCTAAAATAAAATTATCGAACGTTTCTTCGGATTGAATAAGGGACAGAGAATAAAATAAAACACAGACGCGGACGCTAGCGGACAAAACATCTGGCCAAAAATAAATACGAAATTGTACATAAACCGACATTCGTGGGCAATTTATTACCGACCATCGGAGTGAATATGGAAGCTGCATAGATAAGATCAGCTCATTATTTGAGCCCCGAGCCGGCCAACTACATAAAACGTTTATTATGTATATTTTTCTTTTGACCTCATCGAGCGGAATTGAACTGAACGGAGGCTCGCGATTCGGTGAGAGATTTAAAAAATATTTATTTTTGTAAATCATCTTTATTATACAGGGTTGGGCAAAAGTGCGTCGGGTATCTATAGCTCCTATAATATAAGCATCTTAGAATTTTTAGCAGTTCCATTTAAAAAAAAACGAAGAAAAACAATTTTATATATTCGAAAGTTTGGCTTAGATTTTTGAACACCCTGTATGATTTAAGATTGCGATATTTATAACAAAGGAAGTAATACCAACTATAGTAAATACCTAGTATATTTTCGATTTCAGGAAATTTCTTGTATTTTTAATATTGATTTTATTTATTTATTAATATTTCAGAAAGTATCAAAACATATTTATTAATATATTAGGATTACCTAAAGTAATCAGAAAGAAAAACAAAAACATAATAATATACACGATATTCCATTTAAAAAAAATCATCCCGACCTTCTCACACGTTTTTGAGCCACCCTGTAGAAGTTAAAATATTTTCCTCAAATATATCCTAATACATACTTTAGATTTGCACTTATACAATATTCCTAAGTCTTTTATTATAGGAGCTACAGATCCCCGCCACACTTTTGTCTGACCCTGTATATTTTTCTTTTAACCTCATCGGGCGGAATTGAACGAGGCTGAATCGCGACAGTGACAAATTTAAAAAATATTTATTTTTGTAAATCATCATTATTATATGTGGTATATTTGGAACATCAAACGTTGTTGTTATCAACATTTATTTATTTGAACTTGTCTAGATTGTGACAGTAACGAATAGAATGCAATTAATCATTTTATCTGAAAAAAAAAGAAAATGTCCAACTCGGTATTTTTAACAAGTAATAAAATTCAGATACAGAAATAAGGAAAACAATGGCAGACTTGTTACTTTTACTAATATTTCAATAACGTTTTTACTGATATTCTGAAATGAAATTATGTACTACCTTGTATAGTACCTAAGTACCTACTATTCATTGGAAACATTAAGTTTAGAATACTTTAGAGATGTATAAAAGAACAGCTATCATATTATATACTTTCTGTTAGTATATTTGCTCAGGAATACCTATAACTTCATATATCATCGTATTTTTGAAGCACTGACAGTGTATGAGATACCCAAATACGAATTCTAACTTCACTTGAAAAACATATTTGAGTCACGCATTACAATTTCAATGGGACTAATGTAAAATTACCATGAGGGATATTACCATACCACAGATTAACTTACAGATATGGCACTTATTACATCTTGCGGATAAACTTCGCCATGACCTCGGATCTGACGTTGTCAGACTTTATTTTTTTTCTCGAATGCATTGTTGTGTTTTGTAAAAAATGTATTCCTCATTATTTTTTAATTATAATGCTTTCATTATAATCATTATCATGTAAATAAAAATATAGGTTTGAATTTGGCCCTCTCATAGGTCCACATCAATAATTAATACATATTTAATAGTTTTTTTCCATTATACTTCAAAAGAAAAGTACGTACGAGTGTGATTGATTTGAGTAGTTAAATAATAATCAGCGCATGAATTAAAATTAGTTTGTGTTAAGTAGTTTTATTCGAGCAATAAACCAATTAGAATAAAAGCTAACATGTACACGCATGCCTAACATTTAAAAATAACAGAGACTGTTTAAAAAAACAAAATCACAGTAGCAATATTTACATTTTAGTTTGTATTTCACTATGTCTAACTCTTAAGTTCTTGAAAGTGACAGTGACAGCTATACGTGACTTATTTTGAAATACTTGCAAATTTAAAACTAGAACCTGATTTTGCCTAGACACTATTTTTATTATTTTTTCCATCAAGTACTTCATACAACTTAGGTTCAAGTATCAGTGTAAACAAATTCAGCTGATACATAAATATATAGTAAATTTCAAACTAAAATGTTATCTCTACTGTTTCAAGCATGTGGTAGTTTTTTTTTATGGTTAAAACTTTTAAATGTGTAGATTCTTGCTTGATAGATGTAAAAGTCACCATCTTGTATTACAAAATTTCAATTCTAACGAATTTTTTTTGGTTTATTTTCAACAGAAGGACGGGAATGTGTGAATTGCGGGGCAACCAGTACGCCACTGTGGAGAAGGGACGGCACTGGACATTACCTTTGTAACGCCTGTGGATTGTACTACAAAATGAATGGACAAAATCGACCACTCATCAAACCTAAAAGAAGACTGGTGAGTCACGATTTTTCATATTATGAAATTTTTATCATATTTTACAATTTTATTTTAGTTAATTACAGAATACTGAAATTAATAAACTGTTGAAATATTAGATTAACAGTGATTTATTTATGATTTTTAATGAATGAAAGTACTTAAATTGATAAACAATTATCTAATCTCCTTTTATTGAATAATATACGTTATGGCTAGCAGGAAACAACATTTATACTTTAGGGAGATAGGCTAAAAATATTTTTTAGAATTTTGTAAATCAGATAAAAGTAAACGTTTATAGAAAATGCTTTATATCAGTCTAGTATATTGATCGAAGCTATACAGACAACAAAAAAGCAAAAAAAGAAAGAGTAGACCTACATTTTTATGAAAATCGATGAATGTGGGAGGTATTTATTGATCTACTCGTAGATCTAACAGGGATATTACCAAAAATAAAATATAATATTAGGGTTGTTCTATCTGACTAAACACAGAACATTCATTTTCTGTATTGTAGGTTAAAAAAAACGGCTAAATTTTGTTTGACTAAAATCACAGTTCGTGTCTTTTTCGTGTTATTTGTACTAAATTTAAGTTTAGATGTAAACGTAAAAAAAGACTCATTACTATACCGGGTGTTTCTGAAAAGTGACACACCCCCCATAACTTTTTTATTTTTTCAAATAAAAAAATGAGATTGAAAACGACGTTGACATAAATCAGGATTGATTGACGTATTCAATTGTTTTCGGTCATTTCCTGTTTCACCGGAAATGACTATAACTTTTGATTTTTAAATGGCACCCTCGATATTTTTTACTTTATTCGATAGAAAATGACACTCTGAATAAAATGACACTTCTTTCAACTTTTGACATTTTTGCATATGGTTTATTTGAGATTGTAACATGCTGTTCATTATTACAGTTGAGGGTTGGAACCTTTGGTGTTACACAGCAAAATAAAAACACTAAATCACCACAATACACCAAAACACTTTTACTTTTACACTGGACGCGCGTTTCGCTAACCATGTTAGCATCATCAGCAGATGATTATAAACTGAGTTTATAATCATCTGCTGGTGATTATAAACGCATCATCAGCATCATCAGCATCATCAGCGTCATCAGCATCATCAGCATCATCAGCAGATGATTATAAACTGAGTTTAGAACATGGTTAGCGAAACGCGCGTCCAGTGTAAATGTAAAAGTGTTTTGGTGTATTGTGGTGATTTAGTGTTTTTATTTTGCTGTTCATAACGACAATTTGACTCGAAATACCAAGTGTGTGCTACCAAATTATTCGTAAAAAAATGCTTTTTTCAAATATGCTAATGAGCTACTTTTGTACCATTTGAAAAAAATCAGATATGATTAAGCAATCTAGATTGAAATATAAAATATGTATAAAATATCGAATAAAGTAAAAAAATATACCCAGTGTTCCATTCAAAAATCAAAAGTTGTAGTCATATCCGGTGAAGCAGGAAGTGGCCGAAAAGAATAGAATACGTCAATCAATCCTAATTTATATTTCTCGTTTTTTTATCTGAAAAATAAAAAGTTATAGGGGTTTGCCACTTTTAAGACGTACCCAGTATAACAAAGAATTAACATCACTCAAGTAAAAAAAATGCAACATAACTCATTTTATAAAATTATCCCCTTTTAAAGAATTTTCATTTTTGGGGGTAGTTTAATTGGAAAGCTCTTCATGTTCATAAAACGTCAGATAATAGAAAATTTATCGGTTTTGGAAGGATATATATCTCGCACCACCGTAAATATAGGTTATTTACTGCCTAACAAAATTTGTGGCTGAAAAGTCCCCTCTAAAGACCCATTAATATTGATCTCATATTTTATTTTTTTCGAAAAATATTTGTCAAAGACCCACAATTAAAATACCATTGCAAAAGCTAAATACCTTTTTTAGTTATTTTTTATACAAGACGATAAAATCGTCGTGTATAAAATAATATTTTTTTCCATAGCGAGTTACGTTTTAAAAAATATTCAGAAATTATTATTTCAAGGAATTTATTACGAGTAGTAGTGGGAACTATCGAATGAATACTATCGAAACATTCGATAGTTGCAATTAATTCGAATAATTCGATAGCTAGTAAGAAAACATTCGTTGAAAACTATTCGAATAAAAATTATCGAATAGATGCGTCATCTGCCTTGAAATATTTTATTCTAGTAATTCGGCAGCAAAAACCATTCATTTGTAAAATTCATTCATTTATAAAATTCATTCATTTATGAAATTCATTTATTGGTCAGGATCGATTATAATAAAATATTAACTGGATTTTAGTTGTCGCCCGGCTCCGAGAAACCCGACAGCGGTCGGTGGCAATGCTATGAAAGAAGGCGGCATCTTTGATTTTTTGTGGAGTCAGATAAAGATAAGGACACATTATTTTTTTTATTGAGGTGCTAGTATTTACACAGAAAATACATTATGAAGGGCGCTGTTGCCATATATTGGTTTAGCTTTAGTTAGTTAGGGATAGTATGTCTATATATTTTGCATTCTTTTTATTAATATTCTGTTGTTACACTGCAATAATACTTGTTATTTTGGATGTAGGAAAATGATTTTTAATGTTTTTAAGCAAAGACTGGTTTAATAAATAATAATAACAGTAATAATTTGTTATACCTATTAACAACAAAAATTAAAATCATTTAATATAAACATTTTTTATGTAGTAGCAAAATATAAACAACAAATTAGATGTCAAAATTATTTATATTCGATCCTATTTAAAAATAATATAGTCTCTAAATTTTTTGTGTGGCAACGTTGGTTTATAAATAATAATAATTACAGAACTAATTTGTTATATTAACAACAAATTTTAAAATCATGAAATATCAACATTTATTAATTTTCTAAGCAAATTAGAAATCAAAATTATTTATATTAGGTGCTTTATATTACTATTTAAAAATAATATATTTACTTTTACTGGCATTTACTTTAAAAAATAAATGAAATATTTCTTCGCAAAAAACTACATGTAAGAGAATTAGCATAAACAAAATACAAACATCGTTAACTTTTTTTTTTAATTGGCACGTGTAAAACTTTCAATTTAATTTTCTCACCCCATAGTTTGAGTTCGATAATCATTTACTTAACTACATTACTTAAATATGATTACTAAGTTCAACTAATTCATATTATTAAAAATTAAAACATCTAAAATACAAATATGTATTTTTAAAATTAATTGTAAGTTCATCTCATCTCTCTTAAAAAATGCTACTTCTCAAAATTACCCAATAAAAAATAGACCATATACCATATAAAATTAAATAATTGAAAGATCGGGCTACGGAAAATCACACAAATTTTCGGAAAAATTTTGACCACCTCCACACGCACACCATCGTCAATTAAAAAAACTACTATTTTAGTATTTTAAATATTTTAATAAACGCAAAAATAGCACACTATTTATACGTCGTAGTTATAAAAATTTGGAACAACTAATAATGCACTGACGCACACAAAAATCAAACGAATACTAAATTCTAAATTTCATTTATCAAAAGCATTCGATAGTCGTGGCTCAACGATAACATATGCTTTAGTATACAAATGAATGAATGATTTTATTCGAATAAAACCATTCGATAGTTGAAATCATTCATTCAGTAACCATTCGATAGTCTAATTCATTCGATAGTTCCCATCGCTAATTACGAGTAGAAAAAATATTATGTTGGGTTGGCGTTGGTTTCTATGTAATTTAATAACAAATAAATAAAGCTGTCTCTTTAGTTGTCAGTTTTGAGTCAATATTTTTTAATTCTCTTTCGTGTCGATTGCTGATTGAATTGGAGCCAGAAATGGCTCAAAACGAAATAAGTAAATTACCAACAGATGTTCAGGCTGAGGCGACAAACGCCATATCCAATTAAATTAATTTCATTTAAATCCCGAATAACTTATGAAAAGGAATACAAAAATTTTCAAAAATGGAAGTAATTAAAAAACGTGCGAGAAGAAATAAGTTATTTAACCTATCCTCGCTGTTAAATTATCACTTAATCTACCCTTGCGGTTGAAGTATTATTTTATCTACCATTTTTGATAGATATAAGGCAATTTTAACAGTTGCTATGGAAAAAACGTATTTTAATATTTATCCATTATTAATTTATTAAAACCAATATATTAACACTAATTACACATGTCCCAATATGTCGTAATATTACTTGTTGGGTTTATTACGTAAACCATCATTCTTCGAGCCTTATACAGGTGCAACCAGATGGTCCAACCCAACCCTATCATTATTAACTTAAATATTTAACAGTAAACTGGCACCTTTCATTCGGTTGAGGTTATTGATGGTTTTTTCCGAGGTTTACGACTTCATGAGGGGTTCAATTAGCTATTGAGTGTTGGTATAGTTGATGTAGTGTCCCCCTAAATGCATGGATATACAGTGTGATCAGCCACAGAGTAAATTTGATTAAATAAATAAATTCACAACGGCCCCGTCAATTGTTCTCAATTCAAAAAATTTTTATCAAAATTTTTTTATACAGGGTGTGTCATGTTACTTGTGAATATATCTTCCAATATGTTTAAAAAGAAAGAACTTTAACCAGTGTCTTGCCTGTCCTTACGTCTGGAGCTGAAAAACTTACTTTAAAAAAAAGAACATACATAGAATACATAATGAACAGTGCTTTCCATAAAATGAAAAATATGCGAAATAATATACATGTACTGATTTCTTTTGAAAATCGACAACTATGAAACTATGAACCTTTCCCGGACATAAACGGTACATTGTGAGACAGGAAATTGTAGAGAGAAACAAGCCCTATAACATAGGATACAACATTTTAATGAACAGTGCTTCCCATAAAATCAATAAAATGAAAAAATACGAAAATATACATGTACTGATTTCTTTCGAAAATTGACGAATATGAAACTATGATCCCTTCCCCGACACAAAGCTACATTGTGAGACAGGAAATTGTAGAGAGAAACAAGCCCTGTAACATAGGATACAACATTTTAATGAACAGTGCTTTTCATAAAATCAAT